CCCTTTTTTTTTTTTTTTTTTTGTGTGTGATGTATTTTTCTGTCATATTAAAAATGAATGGACTCTACTTTTCAAGGCCTACCATGCATCATTCTGTCTTCCCTTAGAGTGAGTCACTGCGTGTTACATTCTAACTCTCATTCAAAAGAATTGAGTTCACAGTGGAAAACAATTACATCTCACAATAACTTTACTAATACAGTTACTGTCAACCAAGATCTCGCTAAGTGGGGTGTTATGTAAAGATGTAAAATGAAGGATGGGAGAGAATATTTGATTAAGAGGAAGAAGGCAAGGCAAAATCAAACCCTGCTGGATCTAGAATGTTTAACTCTCTTAGTACCAGAAGTTTGTTTTCTCTATTCAGGCTGTAATAACTTGCTACTGAAGCTGAACGAGGCAGTTTTGATGGTTTAGAGTTTCTTAGAAACTACCAACTAAGGACAGACCCACCAGGCTACTTTAAATTGCTTTTTTAATGTTCAGTCTAGTTTTCTGCTCTGAAGACTGCTCTGAGCAAAGGGTTGCCGTGAGGGCCACGCCATGCCAGGATGGCTGTTATTTGAGAGGCACCCTGTTGTTTTTCTGCTCCTTCCCTGCTTCTGTCTGGTTCCCACGAGGTGGCAATTTACTGCTAACCTATGCAATTTGTGAATTAAGACCACTGCTATCATCTTGTCTGCTTCTCACTGTGCTCTGGCCCATTTACTTTGCAGACCCAACGCTTAATTAGCCCACACAGGAGTGTTTATTCTCCAAAGACAGAAGACACCTTAGAAACTGTAGAGCTAGAATAAGACCGGGATTTTTTCCCAATGAATTTTTGATCTCCAAGCTGAAGGTACCAAAGATTTCAGTGTCTCTGAACACTGCTGCCAGTACAACACCATTTTTATTTAACTAAGTTTCTCTCTCATCTGCATAAAAACTACTCGCATCGTGTTGCTAGCTCTTGCACCAAAGTAATTTCCCTTATGACAGGAGTACAGAGGGGATGAGTTCTCATCCGTGGACCTCTGTTGATAAAACCTACCCCTGTATGTCTGCCCAGTGCAGTCATCTGTCTAAAAGGTTACCTAAGGCACTCTCCTGCATGCCCATCACTTCTTACAGAGAGTAAACTTAGCATGGTAGTTTCAGCGTCAACAAAGCCAGCCTGTGTTCTCGCCAATCATTCTAGCAACAGCAGGCAGCTGCTCTGAAGGTGAGGATGGGTCTTGCAAGTTTTTAGTTTTGAGCTTTGAGAATGCTCCCAGCAGTGTCTTCCCTTAAGCCTCTACCTGCAGCCCCTACCCTACAGCAAATACGACTTGGCTCCGCTGTTACAGCAATGCCGCCAAGCTGAGGGTAAATACTGGCTGTTGAAGTTGGGTCAAGTGGGTTTTGACTAACCTCACAAGACTGATGCTAAAATGATTTATTCTCTCTATTTTCCAGCTGGTGGGCTTTGTCTACGCCTGTTACGTTGTTAGTGTTTTTACAGAAGAAGAAGACAGCTGTAAGTATTTATCAACAGATCCCTTGGCAAAGGTTTTATTAAACTATACTTTATCTCTTAGATGTTTGTCTGTCAGGACTGAGTTGCCATCAGACTTCTTTCCTTCTCTCCATCTATGTGATATGCCACTACCTACTTTTCAAGGATCAGCTGTTTTTACTGCAAGGTTTTTTTCCCCCATGTCACCATGTGTTAGATGCTGTAATTCTGCTCAGCTTTCACCACAAAAAAAAAAAAAAAAAAAAAAGCTTGGTCTTGGCTTCTCACTCAGACTAAGGTTTAGAGAAATGGGGCAGCTTCTTTTGCTCTCAAGCTTATATAGCTTAAGAATAATGCTACTGAAGTATTACCACTGTAATTAAGAGTATCCACAACACAGAATACAGCTCAGTACTCAAGTAAGCCACCTGCTGAGTATCATATGCCACAAGCTGAGGATGAAGCAGAGCATGAGATTTCTTGCCAAGGACCGACCTGACCACTTAATTCAAAAGCAGAGGAAGGATCGTGTTTGAATTACAAGGAGGAGGAAGGAGCTGACTCCTTCATGTTGGGTATACAAATCTCTTTAAGTGTTATGCATTCACTATGACACATGTCAGAGAATAGCAAAGGCTCAGGGGAAGCCTGTGGGATTTATGCAGATATCCATAACCTGGTCCTGGATTGCTTTGCTCTTCTAAAACTCCCTTTGACACCAATAATTTAACAAACAAAAGAATGGATGCATAGGGTTCAAATAAATGTGAAGTCTGATTTCTTTGACAATGTGTTGGGTCTAGGCCAGTTTACTCCAGGTAAGGACCAGATCCAAAGGCTTTATATCCAAATATCACTTCTTTAAGACTTTTGTTAACTTTCTCCAAGTAGCTTTGCTGTTTTAAAGAGCAGCCGGCACGGGTGTTAGCTGAAAAGCAACAGCTTTGAACTGAATATTTGAAAGTATGTGAAGAATGTTGATTTCGTAGGAGTGAGATAAGATGCACTGCTTATCTGAGTTGTCCTCAGGTTTTTCTGTTCCTTCCTGTGAGGCTGAACTCATTCTCCTGCCTTTATTGATCATTTGTTTAGAGCTTGGCAGTGCACTTAGCGAAGGTGCTACATTATAAGTAATATTTTTAAAATCAGCCTGTAGCTCTTCTATTAGCTAAATAGCTTGAGTTCTGAGCTCCTGTTTGAATATCGCAAAGTAATAACTTGACAGAGTTCATTTTTATAGTAACGATCGTTTAGGAGAGGCAGCCACATGGAAGGAAGTATTATCTAGAAATGCAGAGCTGTTAATTTCAGGATACGTATTTTTTTTTTCCACTAATAAATGCCTTTTCCCTCCCAGTTTCCCAGCTTGGAGTTAAAATGCCAGCTTGAATAATTAACAATGATAAACCATCAATATTTCACACTCACAGTGGTAGATCCTTCCAGTGACCCAGACAAATCTGAGCTGCGTTTTAATTTTCTCTTCCATTTGTGGTTTCCTTTAAATGTTGCTTTGATATGCAGCATGAAGTAATTATAAGCGCTGAGGCACATTAATCAGGAAGCTCATGCTAACGTGATTTTCATGAGAAAACACAGCAGTAGGGATCTACTAATGCTGAATTGTGGGCAAGAATATTTTAGATGTGCTAATGCACCGTAATATATCGCAACAATGAACCACAGTTAAGATCTTTTTTTTTTTTTTTAAGTGATTTGTATTTTGAGTGCTTCCATGATTGGGCACTCAGATGATAGGACTTTTGTTTGTACAAAGTACTAGACAGTTACTGAAAATTGCACTTCTTTAAGATTTCCTTCTTTAGACATTCCATAACTGAGGTAATAGTTAGTATCTGTTTTTTAGAACTGCAGACTGCCTCGATTTTAAAATACTCAAACATTTTTAAAAGTGGTTGAGAAAAGGTCAAGTCTCACTGAAACTCCTGGGAATTATCCCTAACTTAGATCCTCTACAGATTTCACCTATCAACTGACAGTTGTTCCAAAATCACAGTATCAGCATGAAGCTATCCATCAAGATGGAATTTGTGAGAATACTTTGTCCCCGGGTTTCTAAATATATTAAGAGGTTTTTTTTTTTTCACTTCCAATATATTTAGTAAATATTTTTAATATTGTTTATTCACTAAAAAAATACCAAAACTCTTCAGCTAAAATTTAAAAAAATAGTGCCACCTTCAGGAAAGAAATTAAACAGGCACTTACACAGTTAATAAGGCTCTCCAGTTATTTTAAAATGGCTTTCACCCTTGCAAACAAAATGCACTAGCTTGGCACCAAAAAGAGGTCTAAGCTGGATCTATTTTAAAGGGTTTTTTTGCAAGGCCTGCTAGGTCAGTCACAAATCACACATCATACCCCTACTGACCTGGCTGTGTTGTCCAGCTCAGTAATATAGACTTGGCCTAATTTCAGGGGAACTAAGAGAGACTTGGAAAATTCTTCTGTGGTTACTAAGGGAATTGTCACTTAAAACTTTCCTTGTTTAGTTACACTGCCCTTATGTGAATACTGGAGAAGGGAAGCATTGTTCCTATTTGTATACAATTAAAAGAAATTGAGTTGGCAGAGGGGACATGAAAAATATCAGAGCTAAAGATAATGAGGTATTTGCAGTTTTCCAAAGCTGCTGTTGTCTGTCTTGCAGGAAAGACAAGTGGGGCGAGAAAATTCCCCCCTTCACTATAACCTTCACGGGGATCGCTGCGCTGCCAACTTCTCGGCTGGCATTCACTCACAAGCCATTCCCCAGCTTCCTTCCTTCAGCACATCGCTGAATGGCTGAGGCTTTGTCAGCTCAGTTCTCATGTGAAGTCACAGCATGGTGGCAACATCCAAGGGAGCTGAGGGAGGCCCTTTTGTTTTTTCTGGAGTCTTTGTTAGCTCTGCTTGAAGTCTTGTGGTAGCTGAATCTCCTCTTTGGCACACATGCCCATCCCAGGAGATCCCAGGGAAGAGGTCCGCACTGGCAGAGATTTCCACCAGGCAATCCATACCTGAAAAATCATTTTTCTGTTTTCTCACTAATTTTTGTGTTATGCCAGGACACGCACCAACTTTTTCTTTCATTTCCTTTCAACTTTCTGGCCATGTTTGTTTATTTATTTGAGTTTTGATTTTTTTTCAGTTGATTTCATTGGTGGATTTGATCCATTTCCTCTCTACCATGTCAATGAAAAACCCACCAACCTTTTGTTCAAGCAGACATACCTGTAAGTATCATCTCCTGGGCTAAGAGGCTACGCATGCCTCAGTCTGATGGCTCAAGGGTGCCACAGGTTTGGGTTTTTTTTCCTCCTTGCAGGTTGATTTCTCCAGCAGGCTTTTCAGGCATGAACAAGTGGACACCAGAAGGGGTGAAACTGCCCCTGCTCAGCCCCAGGTTTCCAGGGTGAAGCTGGTGTTGCCATACTTGGCTTATGGCAGTGGGGCCAGCTATAGGATATTATTTTAAACAAACTACTGGATGCCTTTTCCCTGAAGAAAGCAAAAAGAGGTTTTTCAGCAGAGAATGGTGCCCAAGCAGGTAAAGGCAGGAGCTGTGAGGAAGTCAGTCAGTAGATGCTGAGAGCAAGCCCTAGCAGAACATGACTCACGCTCTCAAGGTTCAATTGTCAGGCAAAGCCTCAATGAAAGATCTTTACTGGGGTAAAAATTTATGCAACATCTAGTTATTTAAGATCTATTTTAGCTCTGTGGACAGTCATAACTGAAGTCTGACCTGTACATCCATGCAATTTTGATCACCGGCCCTGTCTTTGTCATCCTCCAATAATCTTCTCAAGGTAGCACCACAAAATTTGACTCTGTCTTGGGTACAGGGTCTGCCTCTATCTGCTGGTACTTCTAGGGAACCTGTAGGGTACAAAACTAACACTAGTGAATTAAATGAGCATTAGATGGTTTGTATGCAGGATGGCACAGGCTTGGTCTTGAAATTTCTCTCCTTTTTTTTTTTTCTCCTCCCTTATATTATGTGGCCTACAAGAACAGAGGCTTCTACATTTGGGGCAGCCCAAGAGTTCAGCTGAGAACAGGGATCAGAAAGGAGCTGGCCACAGCAGCTCCTCTCATCCCACTAATAAAGATCCATTGTTGAAATCCAGCTTCTGCCCTCTGATAATCCCTTCCACTGCTGAAGGCACACGACTGCACTTTCACACTGTCCACTTAAAAGCTGGTTCTTAATGAGATTCTCAAACATGAAGGCCAGCATTATCTGTTTAAAGCAGCAATTAGATCTGAATTTTTGATACTCTCTGAATCAAGCTGCAAGAAGGCAGTTCAACGCACAGAAATTTTTTAAAGCAGCTGCTAAAGGAGGTTGTTTCTTGGGAATAACGTTACCAGAAGGGCCTGCCAAGAAGGATGCGAGGATGGAGGAGAAAAGTGAGGTCGAAGAAAGAAAAACTGCACCCAAATATGTTTGTAGATGTGCCCCTCTAATGTAGTGTGGACTTACTGCCCACTTTGTCACTGCAGCCCAGAGCACAAGACCAGGAGAACAAGTAAATTTTGCAAAGCAGTTAAATTCCCGGTAACTTTGGGGGTTCTACAGCATTATTAGAAAGGATACTACAGAGATTAAATATTGATTTCCCTCTCATTTTGTCACAGTGGGATGGAATTTTCCACAGTCTGCAGAAGCTGTGGAGCTTTAAGCAGCTCCCTGATTTACTAGCCTGATACAGCAGTGTGCTGAAGAACCATCACACTGTCACAGTATGGGGTTGGGGCTGCTTTTTTCTTAAAATGACAAATCCTGTTTGTGAAAGAAGCTAGTACTTATAAATTACTATGTGGGGAGATTGTAATATGAACAGAAGCTAGCAATGTAGAACTTCCTTACAAGGGGCTCCACTGGATGGTAAGCTACTAATGAAGTACACGGATAATTTTGTTATTCTTCAGACCATCACTTACCTATTGAGACGTTCTACCAGCACAATATAATATTTATTTCTGGCTAATGGGAGGTGAAAACAGCTGCTGAGCAGTAGATAAGGTGAACCTCTATAAATTTCACAGCAGCCACCAAATAGCAATTTTTGTTTATTTATTTCAGCCCAGCTCCTGCCTTTCTTCCATGTGTATGAATGGGAGTGAGGGGAGGAACAGATCCTTGAGTCTCGACTAATGATGCCATGCAGTTTTGCAGTCTGGGGCACTGAGTGCTAGATGCCCTTGTCCTGCTCTGAGAATCATTTCATGATGACTGAAGGCTTTTTTTTTTTTTTATATCCTGTTCAAGAAGATGCAAAACAACAAATACATCCAACTTCTTCCAAGTTGAAATTTATGGAACAGCTAGGGGTCAGGAACATGGGCTTTCTGGTTTTAAACTCCTTTTTGTTGTAGGAAATGCCGAACAAAATCAAATCTATTCTACAGCTACTGACCTGGAGTTAACTGCAACCGTGAGCCTTCATTTTAGGATGGCATCGCCCCCCTGTCAGTAGTCAGCTGCTCTCCTGATAATGCACTTGCCCTGTTGCCACAACTCTAACACGATCACTTTCCTTCATTCCCTAATGGAATTATCCTAGTCACTCCAGTTTTATCTATCCTTTTCTGATGAGATCACACTCTTTCCTCTTCTCCTAATGTGTCCTTTCCCTTGTCCTGGCTTGCATTTTTCCCTAATCTCTTTATCTCTCCAAATTTATGATGTTTCATAGATCTGAAGGCCCCACAAAAGAACGACACTGATCTAGGCTGATGAGCATAGTCCAAGACCAACCCCCATAACCTCTCTATCAAGCAGCAGTCTATGAGTTAAATAACTTTTAAATATGCTGTCAGAGTTAAAAGACATTAAAAGGGAAACTGCTGTGTTCCTTGACAGCCCACTTCAGTGGTTATCAGCTGCTAAATTCAGTATTCAAAGTGTACACCACATGGAAGCCTTCAGCTTCCATCCAACTGCACTGAAAGGAGTTCTTAAATACCTCTGCCTCCTACTAGGAGAAGAAAACATCTCCCCAAACTATTATTGTTAATAGGTACTTCCAGACCACAATTCAGTTACCTCCCAGCTTTATCACGGTAATCTGCTGACCTCCTTGACTTCAGTTGCAAGTCTCCAGCTAGTGGAAAACCTCACAAATTACCAAATCAGGTGTTATTTTTCTTTTTTTTTTTTTTTTTTTAAAAAAAAAAAAAAAAAAAAAAAAAGCCAACAATGACAATCAACCAACAGTTTTGTACTGTTGCTTGCAAATGCGTAATTTAAGTGTGCTTCGTTTTAATTAGCACCTCCACCACTCACAGCGACAGTGATGTTCCATAAATACAGTTATTTCTATTTCAGGTTCCACAACTGCTTCTGTTCTACATTTCATTGACCCCAGGGGGGTTTGATTGTGATAGTTCCTATTTCAGGTCACAAGCTTAAATAAGAGAGACTCAAATGATCCTGAAGAAATTGTTCTGGAAGTTTTACTGGTAATAGAATTACCCTTAATCTTACTGCTGCTTACCAATCAAGGCATTGCACTAATTATTTAATAACAATATATTAGGAATCTTGATGGAAGATCTGTTAGTCTTCAGTGCATGAGTTTCTGGGTCAAAGTACTTAACCAAAGGATAATAAATTACTTCTTGAAAACCAAAGTTTTTCTCCTGAGGCCAAAAGAGAACATTTCCAATGATTTTTCAGGAAGGAAAGGCCGAGCTCCTACCCCTCCCTCAGCTGAAGCTCAAAGCCTGCTTGCACCACTCTTCTTTTCAGCGACACAGGGCAGGGCATCAGCTCTGGGTTGCTTTTCTTCCTGTTCGCTTGTAGTAACAGAACTCTCAGAATTTGAGGCAAGGAAGCATTCTTACACTGATAACTGTGAAAGGGTTAACCAAGACAGCTTTGAAGTTTCTGACTAAAGCTGTTATCTCCAAGTACCCACTCTACCTGCCAAGACTGGAGGAGGCCCAGATCATCACCATCATTTGTCAGCGCTTCCTGCCTGCTGCATCCATTCAGTCTTTTGACATCATTCCCTGAATTTGTTTCAGAAAGCAGCACTATGCAATCTCCATTATAAAGCAGAGTAATCTCAAAGCATGATTTTGTACATGACTTAGTGCTAAATCAAGAACCCACCGGCTGACAGGATGCAGTCTCTATTTATTTGAAAGGTAGGGAGATGAGCAATAGATCTTCCAGCCTTTTAAGACTGTATTTGTAAGACCAAGCAGTGAATTGCAGTGGTGTGAGGCTCCAGTCCATGACACTCCCTGTGATCTGGCACCCCAAGTACTACATTACATTTATGGCTTAAGAGCTTTAACTTGAGTTGAGTTGTGCAGCCGCATTTCACTGACTTGGCTTTCCTCAGATCTACCAGGTGGGAAGGGCCCTCTGGTAACACAGGGTGTGAGTTTTGTCAGATGGAGACTTCAGTATTGAGAGGGTAGCGACAGGAGGTATTGGTTAACTGAGGGATCTAAGGCTCCAGCTGGTGGTTGCTCACTTTACTATTTCCTAATCAATTCTTTTGTGGTGCAGGCTGACTGCTAGCCATAGGCAGCTCTGAGTGAGCATGCAGCACCCAGGGCTAGAGCCCATGTAACAGCCAGCCACTTCCAGGTTGAAAGGTTGAAAGTAGGTTCTTCAGATTAACTGACAGGTACAAGTACACAAATGATGTTCTTCAATAAAATAAATAAATAAATAATCAAAATCCACACTGAAACATTGGGGGAAGGAGAAGGGGGGAAACTCCTTTAGGATTGTTTTCCTCCCACCCCCTCCACACTTTGTCTGATCTCCAGAATACTTTACAAATTAAATTTACTTAAACAGGAAAAAAAAAAAAATCCCACTTTGTTTTGAGGAGAGAAAGAAGACAAAACAAAATGCTTCTGCTTTTCTTTCTAGGTAGATCTTTTCCCAAACAAACACTTTGCTGAACATCAACATGAATTACAAACTGTTTTGATCAACCTGAAGCTGCATGTTTAAGAGGTGATGTTTCAGCTGAAAACAATCACTCATCTTTACTGCTGGCTACAAAAGTAGATCCGCTTATACTGCTGCATCTACGCAAAAAGCACATCACTGCAATTTCAAGAAGCTACTTTATTCTAGAGATGACCCCTAGCTTTTAAAATTCCTAACTAAATTTTATGCTGCTCCAAATGCTGAGGATACATAGATCTAATACTTTGGCTTATATCTATTCCTTAGCCTAACTGCAGTATGTTCAGGTCTGGTATATGCAGAGCATTCTTTCCAGACTTGACAAGTGCTTAACCACATTACCTCTGAGCTCTCCGTCCGATTCCTCATCTGTAGTCAATCCTAATTAAAAAAACTCAGGAGAAAAACAAACAAACAATTTTGCCTTCGTTATTTCCACACCATTTCTGTTATCTTAAACAACTTAGTACTTGCTCCACATTGATGCCCTGCCTTCACTTTTTTCCCCCCCTCTACAGGCCTGCGTAAATAAAGAGGAGCCAGAGGAAGGATGAACCTTGCACTCCACCATCAAAGGTGCTGCAGGAAACAATCCCCTGTGGCCTGGATCTCTGGCAGAGGAAATGCAGGATGGTGAACTCCATTCCATTTTTTGTTCCTTGTCTTCTTTTCAAATGCAATGAATGTACATTGAAGAACGGCCACGCGGTTGGTTTTTAATTCTCCAAGTGCCCTGATGAACCATTCCGACTGTAGTCTGGTGGTACTGGCCAGTAAATGGCACAGCCCTGAAGACCCCAGGCAGAACAAGTTCACCGAGAGCCTCTCTCAAGTGACACAGTTGAAGTGGGAGCTGCTTCCTTGTGCCATGGATCCATAAAGAAGGAAGCACTGCATAACACCTTGGGACATTTCACATGTTCTGTAGTTAGTTTCTTCCCCTTTCCCTTGTTCTGAAAAAGAGCCTAAATCCCCTAACACAACTTCACCTCCTCCCTGCTTGGATAGAACTAGGTGGGGACTATTTACTTTTGAGTTATTTAGGCTTTTTTTTTTTTTTTAAAGTTATAGATAAGAGCTCTTCCCTTCTTCCCCCACCCATCCAGGACACCCTTCCTCATTCTCTATTCTGTAGACATGGTCAGCACCTTAGCAGTAGGCATTTGTCCTGGATTTTAGTGTTCTGTGACCTAACTCCTATAATGCTGAATGGCTAAAAACTAGTACAAGCACCAAATCTGTACTCAGCGTGGAGCTTAGCCCCATTTCAACATGCCAAGCCATTCTCAGAGCAGCTGTAGCTTACTCTGGGTTTGCCCATCTACATGAAATTAACACTGGTGTAGCTGTAGGCACAGCTGGAGCCCGCTGCAGGACACTGGGAAATGCCTGGTTCTTCATGGGTCATGGTGGTTTTGTACCTGCCTTCTTCACTGAGCAGCCACACTTATTCTAGGCACAAACCTGGCAAGATCCTGACGGAAGGGGGTTTTTGTGACAGGATAATTTTAAGGGGAGGGAACGGGCTGAAGGAAAGGGGAATATAAGTGTAATTAAGTTGCATTAATGAGCTGCAGCAATTAATTAAAAAAAACCAAACAAAACACAATGTCAGTTTTGGCAGCTATACGTCTCCCAGAATGTTAAGTGTCAAGCAGAGAAAGAGCACTTGTCAGCCTTCCGTGGCTGGTACCTCCAAGTGCTGCTGTAATTCTTTATTGTCTTGCCTAATCTGTTTGAGATTACTTGGCATTTCTGAGTAATGCTTTGCAGAAGAGTCAAGCTAGAAGCCATGCTAGGGAGGGGAAGCACGAGGGAAGAATGAAAAGAAATAAAAAACGTTAAGTGCTAAGTCAAAGATGGAATGATGCACTTTTTTTTTTTTTTTGTCCCATTACAAAGGATCCAGGAAACAAAATCCTCTTCTATAAACCCCAAAGTATAAGCACTGAGAGAACATTTTTTGTTTCTGTGCAATTTGCATTCCAGATACCCACACTGCAACCTAATAACCTGAGCTCTGATCAGGTACAGCCAAGTAAAAACGTTGTCTTCTGTAGGAATTTTTCCTCTTTTAGCCAGTAGAAGCTACAGCTTCTGACCGAGCAGGATAGTTGCTGGTTTGATACTAGTTTCATCATCTGAGGAAGAAATAGCTCAACCCCTCCGCCTGATAAAACATAACTACCTCCCGTATTAGTCAATACTGTGCCACTACCAAGTTAAAAACATGTATCGTAGTGGAACACAAGCAACTACACCATTTAGACAGCATGCATAGTGTGCACACACAACCTTCCCAGCACTTTCTCCACCTCTTCTTAGAGTCAGTTCATTTCTATTCTACTCACTCCTACTTGCCCACCTGATGTTCCCTGGGGGGGGTGGGGGGTGTCAGAAAAAGAAATAGAAGAATACATATCCTCTAGTCAAGGACATTGTTCCATGAGAGATTGCATTTATTTGGGGCTTTTGAAATTAATCTTCCCTTTCCTCATCAGAAAACCCTGACTTCACACTTTTTGGTTTGATATGATTTCTTTTCCTCAGCAAGAAATGTTGTCTATCAGATACCAGCATTCTTGATTGGCCTTGTTTGAGAGCAACCAAAATTCAGCACAGATGGTGGAGAAAGCACAGTTTTAGCTTTGAACAGCTGAAACATTTCACTAGTAGTTTCAGGAAGGAGTTTTTTCTAGATGGTAGGATGAATTCAAAAGGAACTCTTTGAATTATTTTTGAGGTCTGCACATTTTTAACACTATACCTCTCAAACTGACCAAGCTTTCATGTCACATTTACTAATAAAACTGATCAAAACCACTTGCCAGGTATTCTAAAGAGACTAAGCATCAAACTATGCACTTAACAGCATGCCTCTCGACTTTCATACACACTGGTAAAGAGCAATTAAATAAATACAAAGTGTGATGACTGAGTAGCTTCTTACCTACCATTCTATTATGATGAACATAGGTAATTTATTTTACTTCTATTAAAAGATACTTAATGTTCAGGTAAGCCTATAACATTTATATCAATGACTCCCATAAATCATAAAAAAAAAAAAAAATCAGTCTGAGAAGGAAGAAAATAAGACAAGCTACCACAGATCATAATCCACACTTAATTACCTCCTCTAGTTTTCATTAGCAGAGCCATTCATCCTTCATACTCTGACAACTCTTCCTCCTGGTCTGCTTGTGCCAGACCCACTGAGTACTGCCAGGTCCTGCAGTGACCCTGTAAGTGAGGGCAGGGACTCCCGACCGGTTGTATCCCCAAAGTACTGTAAGAGTAAGGAGTCGCTGAAGGTTTTGCTCCAGCGGGATCCCTTATGGCCAGGCCAGGAGTGCCCTCTGTTGGGGACAGGCGTTGCTTGAGATTTGATTGCTAAATCAAAAAACAATGTAGGCCTATTTCCGAAGTGACATCTTCTCATAGAAGTAACAGCTCCACACTTCGAGATGTGGAAAACCCTCAATTTTCAAAGTCTTAAATAAAAGAACCCACAGAAATAGCTGGTGTATTTACAGTTTTGTAGTCCTGTTGATGCTCGGGCTAGGTTCCAGCCACACTGAGCTAAAGTTTAGGAGGAAACAACTATTCCAGCACGGAGCTGGTTTTGTTTTCCCTTCTCGGATTAGCACATCTACTTAAACTGTAAGCTTTTGCTATTATTTACAGAGACAAAATAAAGCCAATGATAGCTTGAACCCAGACACAACACCTCATTCAGCGTGGTGATACAATTCTGTTCCCTATGAAAGCTGCTGTCTGGCAAAGACCCATTAATTCCTCCAAGAACTGGAGAGTTTAAACTGCTCAACTAGTGATTTCTCTCATTGTTGCCAAGAGCTGCATTAATATTCCCCTCTTCTGAAGACAAAAGATGAAGACAACCTGCTCTCCCATGTGGCCCAAGGATACCTGACACCTTAAAGTTACTCAGAGACAAGCCTGTTCAGTATCCAGGGCTGGAACCAAACAGAAGCAACTCCAGAGCCACTGCTCCAGTCTCCACAGGTGTGTTTAAGAGCCACATACCGAAACTCTGTATTCGAGTTCAAATGCAGAATTATCCACCAGTTACACAGCTTCAAGTATCAGGTCTTTATCCTCCTGCATCCTTACCCCTTCTTTTGCAGTTAAGAGAGTCTGGAGGACCTACATGCTGTTTTGCACATTCCAAAGGAAGATAATGGATGGTAAGAACAGTTGCTTCACTCACTCGTGCCCATGTAGTACTGAAGAACAGAAGTTCAAGTGATCTACAAGCTGATGCTGCTCTAACATCTTAGGACACCACCACACCCCTTTCCCCCCCACAGAGCATGGTACTAGAATCAGATACTCAGACCTCTGTAAAATAAACAAAAGAAACTTTTTATTCAGTGAAAAAGAACAGTTAATTTTAAAAACATATTTTCTTTCCCCTGCAGTTATAGTATTGACAAAAAACTTTCCTCTATTTATCTAGATGATAGAATGTTCCATTTAAAATAAGAATCATCAGTTTAGCCAGCAAACAGAAATCCTAAAAAAGGTAAGTTTCCATGATTATCTTCTAGTAGGATAGTACCCAACAGCCAGGGAAGAGGCTCTGTAAAAAGCTTCCATGAGATCATCTAATGACCCTGACCAAAGAGCCTTTCACCTTCTGTCTAGAGAGGTCAGCTGAGAGTAAAGAGGTTGGAAAGTCTACAACAGGCCAGGCTTTTCACTTAGTTACGTGGATTTGAGAATTACTGAAACATTCCATCAGCTGTTGAAAATTCAACAAGGGGGAAGAGGAAGACAGCAAAGAGTTCAGAAGAAAAAGCTAGATTCTCCTTCCCCCACAATACATTGCTGCTGAGTATTCTCATCTCAGCAGAACTCATTTTGTATAAAAATACTCCCATTTTGACTCAGACTTACTGAAGAAGGCATCAACCCTAGCAGAATCTCTAAACAACTGCTAAATGAGAGAAAGAACCAGAGACCATCTACTGAAAACAGCCCTTGATTTCAACACAGAGCAGGGATACGTTTGAGAATGCAAGAATTTGGAGGAGAATCTCTCAACAACAGCCTCTTTTTGGAGGACAAAAGAAATCAGCAGTTTTGTTTTTTTTTCCTGGAGCAGTCCTGCAGCAAAATCAGCAAGAGTACAGCAAACCAGCAACTCTTACTAGAAACACTGTGCATAGGAGGCACATTCCATAAGTTTTCACACTTATGTCAAGCTACCCTGCAAATAAGATTGCTCCAGCATCAATCAAACTATTTACTTATGTTCTTCCTCAGAGGTGTTATGAATGAGTTGTATAGAGTTATCTTTCCCCTTAGGCACATCATGGTTCAGGACATGAAAGTCCTCACATTTCCCTGGATGACTGCTCTGCAGATCGGACACAATCTCAAATTGAGGGCACATTCTCCACAAGCTACCAGGTGGCCACAAGGAACAAACACAACAGACACATCTCTGTCCATGCACACTTTGCACATCCTTTCCTCTTGCAGGCGCCGGAGCTGTTCTTCTGTGCTCATCCGAGACTCATCTTTACCAAAAAAGAAAAAAAAAAAAAAAAAGCCCAAATTGTTAGTATTATAAGAGCTCCAGAGTGCCAGTCCTGTCATCTTAGGAAGTCACACTGCAACTTGCTCATCATTTTGGTTCAGAGACTGACTGTGAAGATGGCAAATGTACCTGTCAGGCAAATTTCACTTAAGCTGAAAAACTACAGCTATTATACTCTGACTTAGCTACACAAGATTCAGCATATCTACACATGCTGGACTGAGCAGAGATCAACATCTTTTTACTGTAATATGTAAATTATCCCGATAAACTAAATATTTTGTATAACAGTCTGCTCCACAGTGGAGCTAATTCCTGAATAAGGTCTCTGTGTTCAGTTACCATTCAAGCTAGCACACTCTCCCCTTCTGGATTAAAAAAAAAAAAAAAAAAAAAAA